ACTTAAGCCGTAAGAAATTGACCAATTACGGTCGAATCCGAGGGGAATAATCGACTGTGATTCGCCCAATTTTTATGGCTTAAGGCTTAAAGCCCTATTGTAGATTCGGGGTAAAGAGAAATAATACTCAACAACTCTGCACAAGCGTTGAGCGGTCAATATCCACACGATTCTGATCTTCGAATATCTGAATACGTTCAACAAGAACGATACATTCACAAACAGCACAATAAGTGCACGCAATTTCAACTCAAACGACACAATAAGTGTACACGATGTCTTCGAGCATCTTGTGAATACGTTCAACAAGAATATATACATATATACATGTATAATAATTCACAAGCTCTGCACAATAAGTGCTACTTTTGCTTCTTTTATTTCTTTATCCTTATATCCCTATATACATATATATTTTCAGATAGTACTGTAGAGACATTTGTCAAAAAAGAAAACATGCCCCCGCAGGAAGTTTCTGTGATAGTTAAAGAACAACCCACACAGATAATACAGAACAAATTGAAGTACCTGTCAATGAGGATACTAACAGAGAAGAGATCCAAAAATTGTTAGGCTTGAATCCTAATGACACTAACCAATTAAAGGTTAACTTTCATGAGGAATTAAAAGTTACTTGGACAAAATGGATGAGAGATGGTCTTTCGGAAAAGAATAAAAAACATGCTTTAGAACTCTATCCACGGAAAGGAGACTTTTATACAGAAGCCCTAAAGGTAAACACAGAGGTTATACCAATTCTGACAGATATTGTTAAAAAACAGGATTAGCACTTTGTGGATACCCAGAATTGTGTCGGAACAGCAATCTCGGCTTTGGGAGCAGCAATATCCATGATGTTGGAAGCACTAGAAGAAGGCTTAGATCAGGAGAAATTTTCCGATCATCTGAGTCATGTGGGTCAACTTCTGACAGAAATCTTTCACCACTTAAATCAGCACTCAATTGCGAGGAAATCTTTTATCACACCACTGTTAAACAAATCACTCAAACCAACACTGAATACGAGGACTGCAGATGAATGGCTGTATTCAAAAAATTCAAAGATATGGTAAAAGAAGCAAAAATTATTGAAAAAGCTGTAGTTGGTCTGAAGCAACCAAAAAAACTACACAAGCCTTCAATAACTCCTAAGATCTAGGGAAACTTCAGATACCCACTTGCAAGCTGGAGGCAGGTGAGCAATTATTACAGACGACCCATGATCAAATTCAGACCCAGAAACCAGGGAACCAAACAGCCTCAGAAGAAAACTTCCACGAAGACGACGAGCCGCTCATCATTGAAGAAGTAACAAATGTAAACATCACAGTTGGTCGCCTTTAATACTTTATTGACGCTTGGAAAGAAATTACGAATGATAATTTCATTTTAAACTGTATTAGAGGATACTATATCCCGTTTACGAATCATCCTACACAAACCACATCCTCTAACGAACCGCGCTGGTCATCAGAACAAATCATAAAAATCAGGTCTTCTATAAACCAGTTATTAGCAAAACAAGCTATAGAAGAATGCATAGAATGTGATCAGTTTATCTTTCCTTTTTTCCTCGTTCCAAAACCAGATAAATCGGATAGAGAGATTCATTATTAACTTAAAAGAACTTAATAAGTTTATAGATCCAATCCACTTTAAGATGGAAGACATTCGATCAGCCAAGAATTTAATTAAGAAAAATGATTACCTATATGTGTACGTTAGATTTAAAAGATGCTTACTATTTAGTCTCAATAACAAAAAGCCATAGAAGATTTTTAAGTTTTCGTTTTGAGAAGAAAGTATACCAATTTAATTGCTTATGTTCGGTTTATGTACCAACCCATATATTTTCACCAAATTTATGAAACCATTTATTAATCACTTAAGACGTGCTGGTATTATTTATTTGGATAACATTTTATTCATAGAAAATTCATAAAAAAAATGTCGATCCAATGTTGAAAAAGCTATTAATCTGCTAGAACGACTAGGATTTGTCATTAATTATAAGAAAAGTTCCTTGATACCTAGTTAGAGGTGTAAATATCTAGGTTCGTAATTAATTCAAGTGACTTCTGCACACAAATAGATAAAGATAAAAAATACAAGATTTTATTATTACTAAAAAATTTTCAAGTCAATAGATGGTACGAGGGCAAGTCAATAAGTTTTTAGAAAAACATAGTAAAACATTTTTTTGATCGATTTTTATTTCTCAATATAGTCTCCTTTCAGCTTGATACACTTGATCCAACGATTCTCCAACTTTTTCAAGCCGTCCGAATAATATGATTTGTCCAACCCTTCAAAATAAGCCTCTGTTTCGGCGATGAGTTGCTCTCTGGTGGTGAATCTCTTTCCTCCGAACCATTTCTTCAGGTTTGGAAACAGGAAATAGTCGCTAAATCTGGCGAATATGCTAGATGGGAAAGCAATTCGTAGCGGAATTCGTTGAATTTAGCCATCAGTGCCGGGCACGTGTGAACCCGTGCATTATCTTGATGGAAGAGCACTTTCTTCTTCGCCAACTGGGGACGTTTTTTCTTTAAAATGTTATTGAAATGATCCAATAAGGCTGCGATTATCACCATTAATCGTTTGCTTCGACGGAAGATAATCGATATAAATTATACTGCGTGCATCCCAAAAAATTATGGCCATCACCTTTCCGGCCAACTTCACGGTCTTTGCCTTCTTCGGAGCTGGAACAATTGGGTATGAAAAAGCTCTCAGCAAGATGGGTGCCGCGTTTGCTCACTGTGGACCATAAGCGCGACCGTGTGACGATTTCCAAACAATATTTGGAGATGTTTCAACGTAATCCAGATGAATTTCTGCGTCGATTCATTACTGTGGACGAAACATGGATCCATTATTTCACACCCGAGACGAAGAAACAGTCAAAACAATGGACTTCATCGGGTGAATAGCTGATAGCTTTTTCATACCCAATTGTTCGTGCAAAATCGAAATCACTGTGCCATGTGATATGCCTGTGACCTCGACAAGCTCGCGCACTTTTAGCAGCCTCAATTGGACGTCCCGAACGAGGTGCATCACATGTGGATGTACGACCACGTTTAAATTCATTCACCCAATTGTATACAGTTGAAAATGCTGGTGCAGATGTGCTATGAATATTATCCAACTCGGCTTTGATTTCTTTCGGCGTTAAACTTTTCATATGTAAATGTTTGATCACTGCACGAAACTCGTTTCTTTCCATTTTGCAAAAAATACAAAAGTTGTTCGCTTTAATTGTCTACAGAAATGAAACCACGCGATGAATTCCGTTCAAAATTTGACAGTAATGTGACATGACACTGCGAGTGCCCTTTGACAGATTTTCTAAGAACTTATTGACTTGTCATCGTATAAAATTCGCGAATTTGCACAGCTATTAGGGACCTTAAATGCAGTTTGTCCTGCTGTAACATATGGTTTCATGGAACAAAGAAATTTTATTACGAATAGACAATACTACAGCCATCTGTTATGTAAATAGAGCAAGAGGTATACAGTTCCCTCATCTCAGCTTGCTAGAAAAATTTGGCAATGGTGCGAGAATAGAAAATTGTGGGTTCGTGCAGCTTATATTGCTTCCAAGGAGAATGTTCAGACATAACTCTAAAAGACCTTTAAAAATACAAATTTTGACATAGAATGAGAATTGTCTGATAGATTTTTCAATCAGATCATTAAGAACTTTGGAAGGCTCGCCATAGATCTGTTTGCTTCAAGAACGAACAAAAAATGTAAAATTTTTTACTCCAGATTTCCAGATCCCGATACTTCAGCAGTAGATTGCCTTTACAATCTCTTGTGTTACGAATAAACTTAAGTTCTTCTTCTATAAGTGAAGTTCTATAAAATGAGGTGTTTGCGGTGCAACCTTTATTTTGCTCCCTCAACATATGACAACTACTTACGCAGCTACTGGTTGCAAGTAGCACGCAATATGTGCGAGTCCGAATCGCACCCCCGTTCTGTATCAGTGCGTGACTGGCGCGCCTGTTCCGCCTACAGGGTGCATGTGTGCACCCTTACGAGGCGACATATTGTGGAGGAGATACCACTACCCTACCGGCCCTAAATGCTATAAGTGCCTTATTATTTCTTAATTAACATGTATTATTAAGCTTATAACTAACTTATCTGCTTTTTGTTGTTAATACTTGCTTATTGACCGATGAAAAGTTTCAATCGATTCGCGTGTACGCGTATTATTTTCCGACCCATTTTGTGAAGTTTACGTCGCTTTGTTTTTTAATAATCGCGTACCTAACGTACAAAGTAATACGCGCGACACCTTTACCTCATTATTTACATTCAAATGTATTTACTTTTGTGATTAATCACCCATTAATAGCGTTAGATAAGGAAAATAATCATTATACCTTGTTATATGAAAATGATCTACATAGATGTGTACGAGACACCACAATGTACACTTGCGGGCAAACATTTCCGATATATTACATTATGTCCGACGCGTCATGCGAAGTATCAATATTTATAAACGCGCCGGGACAACTTCAAAATTGTGAGAATGGACACGTTTTATCTAGTATCACCTTATGGATTACGCTGACGGAGGCTCAAACATGGCTATATTCCGCTAAGGAAAGCCAAAAAATTACTATTGTTTGTAATAATGTAGAAAATAAATTAGAAAATAAATTAGAAATTAATGGAACGTGTAGAATTAAGTTGAACGGAGAATTGTAAACTATCCACACCAGATTTAACATTACGAACAAAATCATTGTTAAACGTACAGTATATTAAAGAATATCTTCCTGAATATAATTTAACGTACTATTTTGAAAAGGACATTAATATTGACCTCCCAAAGCGTATTCCTTTAAAACAATTGATTAAAGATCCTAAAGAATTAACTGAATTAAGCTTAGGAATAAGAGACATTGAAGAATATTTAGGAAAAAGTAGCAACCATGTATTTAGTAATAAATATATAATGTACCCGATAGGAACAGGTACAGCCATTTTAATTATAATTAATATTGTATATATAACCCTATACATAGTCCATAAGCGAAGCAAATGCGAGAAGATGCAGAAACAAAAAGGCGTAGCGACGACGCCATGTTATACTAGTATTAAGACATTAGTATTAAGACACATTGTAAGAAAAATTGTAAATCGGGAAAAATTATGTAAAGTAATTATGTAAAGAACGAGTTAAGGAAACTTGTATGCCTTTTTTCCTCGTTTCCTTTTTTCAAGGGGGGAGGAATATGACGAGTACTAAATTGCACAAGTGACAATTGCGCCACGAACGTGCCGAAAAGAATAACTGATTAGTTAAACGATTGCCGAAACCTTGATTTAAATGATTGCCGAATTTATTAAATATAATTAATATAAAAGAAGACCCTGAGCGGAAATAAACTATAAACTATAGAAACGCGGATTCAAGATATTTGCGCGGAAGCTGGCCGATAAGTGGAACGCTGACGGACCAACGCGGAAGGTTCAAGGTTGCCTCGAAAATATCGAATATAAGCGCGACCGCGGACGCGATCATCGGTTAGAAAATTGAACGAAACAAAAGAAAAACGTCGCGTTACTCTGTCCATCGACTCAACTAACTAGAACCGAATTCTTTTATTGGTATCGTCGTACATCGATGCCATACGCAGTGTGAATCCTACATATCTGTCTAAAAGAGTGATCATTCCATAACATTTGGCGCACAACGGCACGGCTCACAACCAAAAAGGCAAGCAACTGCAGAAAAGTCAAGGAAAGTAATATCAATTGGGAAATATTCCACTTATCGCAATTACGCAGAGAAATAGTAACCTCAAAGCAAGGAAAATAAGACAAATCATCGCAAAACAGCTTCGCACAAATAAGGTGAATGAGAAGCTCAAAAAGCACACGTCAGCATTAGTTTACATTACTAGATCCGGGATCACAACCTAATTTAATAACGGTCGATTTACCGAAGAAACTTAAATTACCTACGAAGAATCAAGAACAATCGGCGGCATTAATCTATCCCGTACAGAAGTATGCAAACTTTTACATGTACAATTAAGAGCCATACACAGTGAATTTGCCGATCAGATAGAATGTATGATGTTATCATCAATAACAGACGAATTGCCTCAAACAAGAACCAAAGCTAATCAAATTGTTATACCTCAAAACGTTTAACTAGCACAGAATTCAGCGAATCAGAAAAAGTGGACTTACTATTAGGAACAGGATTTTATTGGAAGATAATCGTAGGCTCACCCAGAAATTGACTTCGAGGCCAGCCAGCGGATCTCATCAGAGGAATGATAGTAAAAAAACTACAGAGCAGTTAACTTTGGTGGCATGGACCACAATGGCTAAGCGAGAGTGATCAACAACCAGCAACACCAAGCAACCAGCAGGAGCCTACCAAAGAATTGACGAAATTGAAGATTTCATTTAACTTCGTTAGTTACACGACAGATCCCTTGTATAAATACTCATCCCATCATAAGGGAATGAATATTATCCTATCTAAGAATATATTATGTCGAGTCATCGCCTATTGTCATCGATTTTGGTTATAACCAGATATTACAGCGGCTCTGATCAAACAAGTCGTCTAAAGTTTCATACCACATGTGCCTTATTTTGGAGGTCCCCTTTGGGAGGCCGCGGTAAAGCTCATGAAGCGGCATTTGTATACCGTTACTCAAGGAAAACTGTTTACATTTGAAGAGTACTCCACGCTACTCACAAATATTGAAGTCATTCTTAATTCTAAGCCTCTGACGCCTTTGACAAACGATCCCTATGATCTTGAAGTTCTAACACCAGCGCATTTTTTAATAGGAGATTCGCTTATTCAACCAATTAAATATGATTATATAGATGTTCCAGACAATCGACTTAATCACTGGCAGCATTTACAGAAATTGAAGCAGACCCTGTGAAAGCGTTGGCAGAACGAATATCTTCAAGAACTGCAAAAACGAAACAAGTGGGTAGCCCAGGGAAGCCTATTGACTTGAATACCAATGCTAATGGTTCTGCTAATGGTTCTGCTAATGGAAAGCCACGACTCCCTCCCCCCCTTTGCAACCTTTGGGACCAGAGGTAGAGATACACCCACATAATGGAAAGGATGGGCAATAGCTAGCGTGCAAATAGCTAGCGTGCGTACCTGGCATATACAAGAGAGCTGTCAGAAAACTTTGTCCACTACCCTTCACGGACGACAAGGAAGAAGACTTACAATCATGATTCTATGTTTTGTATAATTACTTCATTTATTGATTTTTTTATATTATCCAATATTAAGTTATTTCCGCTCAAGTTCTTAAAGTTTTAATTGATTGATTAAAGGCCATAATATCGTAATTAATTAGTTATAATTTTTTTTTTATATTGAAAGACTTTCTTTCAAAGTGGCCGATAAATGTTAATGGGATGTCTAGCGCCACGGCGCACAGGAAAAAGAGAAAGAGAGCGCGGCTCGCGCGGTCGGTATTGTACGAAAAGAAAGACTTGTAGGTACTGAATAAAGATTTTGTAACCGTCTAAAAGAGCGATCATTCCATAACAGTTGAAAAGCATAAACTAGATACAATCCTTTTTAAATAGTAAAAATTGCAGCACTATTTAGTACATTTTCTTATGAAACAAAAGAAGCTATTAGGATCGCAATCTCGAATATACTGAAACTGAAATATTCTAATAATTATTCTAATAACTAGATTTTGATTAAGCTTTAATTAATTAAAATGATTCGTAACAATTTTGCTGTGCAAAAATGTATCAGTATGGTGCTTACAGACTGTAATACAATTTAAATAATTTAATATATAAATATTTTTTTACGCGAATAGAGCTGTTTCGCATGAGACTTCAAAATAACAAAATAATAAACGTAACCACAAACATAAATAAAATGGCGCTCACTTATTGGAGCAGGCACGTGCCTCATGATCGATGATACTGTCGTTCCTTATCAGTAAGAGGAACAAACACCACGCTTATAAGGGATCGCTGCTTGATTTTGCCGTCCAGAGTCTTGTCGATTTGTACTAAGGTTTGATCAGAGTTTTCTGGACCCATGGGTACTATTAAACGTCCACCAGGTGCCAATTGATCTATCAACTATAAGATGGAAAATATTGTAGTGTTCGTTCAAACATATCTGACAATAATTCCCAAGATTTTTCTTACCGATTGCGGCATTTCTTTGGCGGCCGCTCCCAC